CCAACCAGCAAGGCTGGCTGGGGGATTCTGGGAGTTGAAGTCCACACGTCTTCGAGCCGCCAAGGTTGAGAAACACTGGTCTAGCACTTTCTCCAGCATTATTGTGACAGGCACCTCCCTCCTGAGAAACGCCCCTGGGCCTTCAGCTACTCTTCGGTCCAGCCTCTGCTTGTGTAGTCTCAGGAGGATTTTGTCAGCTAACCCGAGGGTGCTCTCAGAAGCGCTGTTCGGCCTTGGGGAATTCAGAGTGCTTGCTTGCTTGCTTTGTATGGAGAAGGGGAAGAAACCTAATTTCGCCACAAGAAGTGCAGTCTATCTCTGTTCTTCCTTGTGCCTGGTGCGAACACATGCCTAAGACTCGTTGCAACCTGGTAGTGAACGTCTCCCACAGATAAGGGGGCCATGGCAACCTGGGGGCTGAATCTGTAGCGCCTGGGAAAGTTGGAGTGTATCGAAAGGGAGCAACCTTGAATTATCTTTGAACTCTGCGGCAGGCTGGGTTTTGCAGATTCACGCCACAGAAAAAGACTGGCTGGGGGCCATCTGCTCGGAGACATGATGTTACCCATTTCCTTCTTTTTCCCCTTGTTCAAGCACCTTTTTTGGGGGACATCATGGGGCTGCTGCTCTGTATAATCAGCCTTACAGCCTGGTTTCAGACCCAGCAATAAAGCTCAGCTCTCTAACACTCGGCTGCATATTCAGGACCTTGCTTGGTTCAGAACCTCACCGACACAGTTGGAAGTGTACTTTGGATGTACAAGAACCCAGAGTTAGCCGAACCAGCACGAATCCACCTTTGAACTGAACGTTACCTCCTTCAGACCTCCCAGCAAATGGCCTTTTCTAGAGATCAGGATGAATAATAAACTGTTTGATGAATCCTCGGTCTAGTGAAGTCCATGCAGTCCCTCTGAATGCCCAGCTGCGTGGAAATACAGCAGTGTCCCAGGGTGGACGAACACAGTGATGCCCCAAAGACCGAGAGAAGATCAAAGGATGACTGATGGATAAAAGGACCAAGAATCAGGAGATGATCTTCCATGATCAAGAACTGCCCAAGAACGGCTAGACCTCTCTCCAAATTGTCTCCTAAAATGGTAACCGTATTCCATGACAAGACAGATGAAAACCAGCTTTTCAGAGGCCAACACGTTTAGGTTATAAACTAGGAGACCAAGAGGAGCTTTGTGTGTAAGCTGGGAGGAGTGTGTGAAGCGTGTAAGGATTGTGTGTGCAGAGTGCAAGA